CGGTTGTCTTTGAGTACCAAATCTCCTTCTTTCAGATTCCTGGACTTAACCTTCTTGTTGAAAGCCCGGGCAATTCTGCGTTGATAGCCTTGGATGTGGTACAGTGCTTTCAGTCTTCTTTCATCAAAGAGCATGAGGACATGACCATGACGCCTCTGGATTTTGCGGTATTGACCGGCCTGGATATAGGAGGTTGGCCCATTCCCTATGACGAGGACATGGGTGAGTGGGAGGCCGCTTGGATGTATTTATTGGGGGCTCGCCCGCCTGTTGACAGGGTTTCTGGGAGAGTCCGATACACTTGGTTCTCTTCCCACTTCCGGCGGGCGGAGATGGTGCCCGAGACTCCTGAGGAGACGGAGCAGTACGCCCGTGGTTTCCTTATGTTCCTCTTCGGGACTACTCTGTTCGCCGATAGAGAGAACACAGTCGGGCTATACCTGCTGAGCGCTCTGGTTGACCTATCACAGGTCAGTAGATTTGACTGGGGGGGCGCCGGCCTAGCTACCCTTTACTTTTATATGAGCGCGACCTCCCGCGGGCGGGGAGATTTACTTGGCGGCTACTGGAGAGCCTGGGAGGTACTTTTCTGTCCCCTTGTTCCAAAACTTATGAGAAGCATTGTGTATGTAAGCTGCCGAACCCTAAGGCTGCAAATTGCCCAAATCAGGCTTTTTGCCAGTCCACATCTCATATGGAGTGTGCACTGCTTTTCTCAGCTATGGGTCTATGTATACTTCCCAGCATTGGCCCCAGAGTTGGAGGTGGCAGCCCCTCCCATGACCCCATATTCACTGGTTTTCGAGGGCCCGCACCGGCCGAGACCTTGAGAGACTCTCATCTACCTGCGACAGTACTTTGACACTGTGCGGCATTCGGAGGTACTTCAGAACTTTCAGTTCCTTTCATTTTCATCTTTGATTCGCTCTGTATATTCCCGATTTCTGATTGGTTTATGCATTTGTCATCCGCAGATCACATGGCAGCCTTGGGCGCCCCTGGATGATGGTCTCCGATTCCAGTATCCCGGAGGATCGAGCGTCTCCCAGTATAGGGTCCTACTCGAAGGGCCGGTTGGCAGGGCATGGTTTCTGGGGGAACGCTTTCTGCGTCAGGTGTGGGGGTATCTTTCTCAGGATCCTCCCGCGGTACCCCCGGTCAGTATGCGGACTGCTGACAGGCTCTCTTACTCAGAGGTAGTCGGCGCTATGCTAGGTAGCGATGCTTTACTATATATTGAGGAGGGGGACTACGCCACTTACCGTCACATATATTTGATGCCTCCATTGACGGGAGCTCGCACCCCGATGACGAGGCCTGCCGGTATGCCATCCTCGGGCCAGGCCCGAGCTCGAGCTGCAGACGCCCCTTCTACTAGTAGGGCTGGTACATCTAGAGGTGGGGGTAGACCGGTTCCTCCGATTCCGTCGACTTATCCTCATCCTGGATGGCCAGATATGCCGACTGAGTTGATGGCGTGGCAGTATGGGGCTATCTCTCCGACCCCGATCCCGCTAGAGCCTCCGATGCCCAGTGATCGATACGCCATTGATCCTGACTCACCGCTGGTATGCTCCACTGTTTTTCATTCATCATTCAGATGTTTAGACATTCTTTTGTTCACTGATGATTATGAGCTCATATTTGCAGCCACCGCGAGGGTACATGGAGGAGGTGGTTGGACTGGTGGCCACACTCGAGGGCATGGTCCTCATTTTTGTAGCCATCGCGAGGGTACATGGAGGAGGTGGTTGGACTGGTGGCCACACTCGAGGGCATGGTCCTACGCAGGGAGGCACAGTTGTCTGTTGCGGGCATTCAGGTACCCTTCAGTTTTCTGGCATTTATCATACTTCTGATGACATGCTGATTTCTACTGCATCGATAGACTACTTGTGTAGAGCACATCTGACACACAGCCCACTTGTACACTGTATTTACATGCACCTACTTCACGTAGCTTTTTCTTGTATCCGCATCTGATGTATATATTTGGACTGATGTATTTGAATTGAACTCTTTGTTTTCAGATGCCTTCATGGTCCGGTCAGCCGCAGGCCAGGCCACCTGGGCCTACTTGGGGAGCTGAGCCATCTGGGCCTTTTCAGGGAGTTGGGTCACCCGGGCCTTTTCAGGGGGCGGGGCCATCCCGGCCTTTCCGAGGAGCCGGGCCATCTAGACCTTTTCGAGGAGCTCGAGGAGGGCCTGTCCGCAGACGCAGGGCTCACATTGTAGAGGCGGAGCCTGATGAGGAGGAGGAGGATGCTGAGGAGGAGGAGGAGGCTGCCGACCGTCAGTCAGAGACATCTGCTGAGGAGGGGGGCTCCGGTCTTGGTTCGGGGAATAGAGGTGAGGCTGAGGGGGATTCTGAGGATGACAGCTCTGACCCAGATGATGATGATGGTGCAGAGATTGTCCCGCAGAAGAGGATGAGGAGTGGTTCTCATTTCCGTTCCCGAGGACATTGATGCTGCTGTTTCCTGCTTTATTTTTCTTTTTGCTAGTAGTTTGTAGCACTTTGCACATTGTTGGGCAGTTTTATTTTTCGTAAAACTTGTACCTTTGTTCGTTGTAAAACATGATGGAATGAAACAGCTTTTTGAAAAGGTGTTTATGTTTTAAACTTTAGCATCGTATCGCATCATTTTATTTTGCACAAGAAAGAATTTGAATGGGAATGTGCATTGTGTAATCACCAAGTCAGGTAGTGAACCGACGCAACAAACTAAGCAACTCAACCTACTAAGATATAACAGAACCTTAGGAAGTTTACAACTCGATAAGCAAAATGCAACAACGTTGATAATCAAAACTAAACAAGACTTAAACAAAGATTGCTTAAACAGAGCGCAATGACTCAAAAACACGAAACACGTCCGCTCGACAAACAACTCGATAAGCAAAACAACAACTCGATAATCAAAACTCGGCAACGACAACAGAGTGTGCTTCGAACGATCTGGGTACCGGAATGCATCCGAAACAGAGGGAAATGAAGGCCTTTGACTCTCCCATTGCATGGAAATGCTTGAAACTTTCCCTCGAAGGGTAAAACAGGGTCAAGGAGATACACTGCAGTATTGCCAGCCATCCCCGGGAGCCGGCCGGCCATTTTTTGAAAAAGTAAATAGCTGGCCAGCTATTTCTGAAAAAGTAAATGGCTGGCCAGCCAGAAAAGGTGGCCGGCCGGCCACTTATTCCTGCAGCCACCTGATTTTTGACACGTGTCCCCGTGAATAGTGTATTCCTGGGAGGTACAATCCGCCAGCACACGTCCTCCCGCGTGCCGTCTTCCGTCACTTCACTAGCTTTG